AAAAAAAATGTCTTAAATACACTACCATCTACAAAGAAGCATTTGCTATTATGTGAAGATAACAGAACTGAGAGGCAAATAAAGACACTTTTCTACTTTTACAACTCCTTTTAAAAGTACAAAGCACTAAAATATTGCTCCTGGAAAAAATTATTTGGTCACAATTCACTTCTACCTTTCTCCCTCCCTTCCTTCTCACTCACTGTATTTCTCATTCATTCTTTTTTTTAAAGTATTATTATTTTTTAATCTTCACCAAGGATATTTTCCCATTGATTTTTAGAGGGAGTGGAAGAGAGAGAAAAAGACAAAGAGAAATATCAATGTGAAAGAAACACATTGATTGGTTGCCTCCTGCAGGAGCCCTGAGGGTCTGGGCGGGGGAGGAGCCTGCCACCAGAATCAATCGAACCTGGGACCCTTCCATCTGCAGGCCAACACTCTATCCAGTGAGCCAAACCGGTTAGGGCCTCACTCATTCTTTAAATCACCTCCAGTCAATGTGCTTAAATGCATATCCAATGGTAAGCAAAATGGTCTCTGCTCTGACAAAACTTTCAGACTATGGGGGAGTCATGCATCAGTCAAATAACCAAATGAATATATGTAATTCATAGATGAACTTTTAAGGAAGAAAGAAAAATTCTCACATGCCGAAAACAAAGAGAAAACAAAGCCAGAGCAGGAAGCAAATGAAAGCCTAAAGCTAAGAGTTGGGGGTTGAAAGAGCCACTAACAGTGAATGACTTACGTTTCAACATTCAAGCAAGGATAGGAGACAAGATGTAGAATTAATGGAGAGTTGGAACTGAGACTTGTACATAATTTGGGACCCTTAAGAGGAGGCTCCGAGGGAAAAAAAATCCACTCAACCTCACAGAGATACAAACAAAAATTTATCTTGACCTAGTCTCTGGATACGGAGAAAAATGTCTTCTGTAAGAAACTGAAATCTTAGGTCTGAGTTCACTCAATTTTAAAGTTAGACTTTACACTACCCATCCAAATTCTAAACTTCAACATAAAGTTTGTCCCTTTGTAGAAGCCCACCCAAATCCCTGGCCATATAGGAGTCTATAGAAGAAACAACGTTCTTTTTAAAGAGATTACAGTCAAGTAGTGAGAGTCAGAGTAACATAGCACATAGCAGGATCAGAGTTCTAGAACTTCAAATTATGGAACAAAATATTTTAGAAGGCATAGGAAAATATGCTTAAAAGTTGTAAAGACATTAAAGAAAAATTAATAAGACATGTGAAAAAGAATCAAGTAGGACTTCTAGAAAGAAAAAATAAATGAAAAATTAATGAATGCATCAAAGAACAGACGAATACAGTTTGAGAGGGAAGAACAAACTAAAAGACAGATCAAAGAACAGAGAGATAAACAAATGGAAGCTATGATAAAATATTAATAAACATTTGGGCTAGAAGATTCAAAAAGTGTATTTTAAAAGTTAAAGGAAATAGTAGAGTAAATGTGGAGGCAGTAATATTCAAAGAAATAACACCTGAGTATTTTCCAGATTCATAAAAGGCATGGATACTCTAACTGAAATAGTGCAACCTAACCAAGACATTCCTCCCCAAAAGAATCCATACCTAGACATAGAATAGTGAGACTACACACAAAGAAAAAGAGAATACCTTAAAAGGAACCAATGACAGGATAGACTTATAAAGAATTACAATTACAATGAGAACAGACTTCTCAATAAGACAATTACGTTTAAAATTATAATAGGGAAAAATCCTGAATCTTGAATTCTATATTCAGCTAAACAAATATACAAGAATGAGAGTAAAATAAAGCCATTTGCAGAAGAGATTGAGAAAATAAACGGACAGATCAAAGAAAGTAAGTTTAAAGAAAGAAAACTAAACTTAGAAGGAAGAAATAGAATGTAAGAAGCAATGATGAATAAAAACTTTTGTAAACATGTGGGTGGATACAAATAAACATTGACTGAAAAGATAATAAAAATAGTAATGATTAATTTTTAAGGACATAAAAAGTATTTCAAGATGGCTGCAGAGCTACATTACAGAGTAATCAACCTGAAAAACCAATGGAAGGCTAGCTGATCTGAAATATTATAACCAAGGAGCACAGAAGCCACATAGAGGCCTGGTAAGAAGGGTGTATAAATGACAGCCCCATCACACAGGTGTGGCCATGGCTGAGAAGCCAGAAGGATACTGTGACTGTGGAACTTCCTCCCCATAGGAGCTAGGGTCTCAACCCCACATAGGGATTCCCAATCCAGAGCAACACAACTGGGAAGAGAAGCCTGCACAGGAATCAGTGGGGATTTAGACTGCCTGGGAGATTCAGATCACACCCTCTTAGGGAAAGAGCACTCCTAAAGGTTCAGCACCAGCCTGGGGTGTTTGCTCCAAACAGACTCCAACTGCTGGTGATGCCATGCTGTGATACTCAGGTCCTACAGTGGGGTCTGCTGGTCACACCCAGCAGTGACTTAAAGAGGCTCTCTATTTTGGGGGGAGGCTTTTGGAAGAGACATAGGTGAGTAAACTGTGTGAACTGGGAGAGAGGGTTGGTCTCCCACTTCTGAGCAATAACTGGTGCCTGTCCCTTCACCTATTGAGCTGCTCAGCCTGCCTTGCCCTGTTTGGCGACGCAGGGAACCTGGACTTTCAACCCTGTCCTGATGGGTTTGGAGCCCATGCAGAGCTCCTGGGACTTTGGGCTCTGCTCTTCTGAGAGCAGTCACATGGAGAGATCAGAGCGCCACACAGCTGACCTTTGGCCCCATCCTGCCAAGTTTGGTGGCACAGAGGGGCCAGGGAGCCGCATAGAGCTGTGATTTTTGTACCGTGTCTCCCAAGGAAACTTCTGTATGGGAACCAGATGGGCCAGGGGCAAGTGCTGGGCTGTGTAACTACATTTGCTGGCACCACCCGCAACAGGAGACTATTTGGATCAGCCCTGACAAGTCCCAGATACCCCCAGTGGGAAAAGTTCCATGGGGGGGGGGGGGGGGGGGGGGGGAAGCAGCTTAGAGAGGGGACATTCAAAGTATGAGATCATCAGAGGCTATTGTCAAAGACCAGAACAAAATGCTTAGCCCCCTCCCGTGGACAGGGCTGGCATCATGAGCAATGGGAGACTCTTTTGATCTATGGCCCTGAGCCCAGGGCAACTGAGCTTGCTCCTGAAGAGGAGACAGCTAGCTGTACTCAAACTGACCTGCACTGAGCCCCCTTAGGGAGAACTAGAGTTGGAGATACTGGTAGAGATGGAAGGGTTTGGCTTTGAAGCAGGGGCCACTTTTTGCACATTGAGTTTCTAACTGTATGATCACCAAGTAGGGGGCCCTAAAACCCTATTTCAATTAGGATGTGCTCATCTAACAGTTCTCTTCAGAAAGCTCTGGAGGAAGACCAGGCACCCCCTGCGGTAGGCAGAGTAGTTCTCAGGTGGAGGTGGACCTTGGGAAACCTCATTCCTTTTACAGATCTGCCCTCAGTTCCATACTGGAAGAAGCTGATCCTTTTATACTGATTGATCCCTCCAATGCACATTCTGGTCCAGTAGATGCAAACAGTGAACAACATGGCAGCTACAGACAGATAGGCCAAAGCTGGTTATACACAAAGTGTGACAGCCACCTGTACCCGAATGCCACCCAAATTGACCAAGAACCAACACAACCAGTGATGAGCTTCAGACTACACCAGACACAACTATCCACACAAATGACACACACAAAGGAGGATTCTGGCAAGCACCAAACCCTGCTGGGAACAACTTTGTGATGGGGAAAGCCCTGCACAGCGTTTCATACACAATGAGCAAGGTTTACTCTTATAGCCACCCATCCTGAATGGTTAACTCCACCCACGAAAGAGCCAACAGCATTCAAGACATAACTATAACTGGGGGTGCACAGAACCCACAAGAACATTCTAGGAACATGGAACTCAAGTGATTTGAAAGATTGTGCCACTGAGTAAAACAAGACACATCAAGACTGCACCTGCACAGCACCTTGCATGCTATGATTGGGGTTGAGTCTGTCAGCCAGTCTGAAGGTTGATCCCACCAATGAATGGCCCAAAAGTAATCAAAAGCAAATTACAACAGAAAGGCCCACATGAACCACACACGTGACATTCCTAGAGCAACCAGCTCAGGAGATCAAGGAGAATGCATCACTGGGTCCCATAGGTCACCTAATACATAAGGCTTCTCAATGAAGGCTTGGAGTCATAATAGTTCTATCAAATACATAAAAGCAAACACAAAAAAAAAAACAGCCAAAAGGGGATGACAAAGAAACAGTTCCCAAATGAAAGTTATCCAAAAAAGACCTAAATGAAAAAGGGCAAGAATTTATCAGATATAGAGTTCAAAGTAACAGTTATAAGGATGCTCAAGGAACTTAATGACAATTACAACAGAATGGGAAAGGGCACAGAAACCATAAAAAAGAGTCTGTGAGAAATTAATACCATACCTGACATCAAGAATACACTGGAAGTAATTTAAAGTAGGTTGGATAAAATAGGTTGGATTTGGAAGGCAAGGTAGAAAAAGAAAACCAATCAGAGAGGCAGAAAATAAAAAAATAAAAAATAAGGATTGAAAACTTTGGATGACATGATATGTAACAACATCTGCATCTTAGGGGTACCAGAAAGAGAAGAAAGTGAACAAGTGAATGGCTGAAAACTTCTCTAACTGGGTGAAGGAAAAAGTCAAGTTCAGGAACCACAGAGTTTTGATCAAGATGAGCCCGAAAAGACCCACACCAAGACAAAGCATAATTAAAATGGCAAAGGTTAAAGATAAAGAAGAATCTTAAAGACAGCAAGAGAGGGAGTTAGTTATGTACAAAGGATTTCCCATAAAGCTGATTTATCAACAGAAACCCTTTAGACCAGAAGAAATAGGCATGAAGAATTCAAAGTAATGAAAAACAAGGACAAGAAACCAAAACTCCTCTATCCAGCAAGGCTATCATTTAAAATTAAAGGCAAAATAAGGAGCTTCCAAGACCTAAAAAAGCTAAAGAAATTCATTACCATGACACCAATAAGAAATGTTAAAGAGACCACTTGAAGAAGAAGAAACATATAGAGAGGGACATAGGTATAAAGGAAATATGATAATAAGTAAATATCTATTTGTATAAAGAGCCAGGGTCCATAACGACCAAAGGCTCAACCAAGTGGGTGGGGACTGGCAAGCGGGCTGAACTCCTCGAGGTTCCTGGTGGCCGAGGGTGCAGAGCGGGAGTGCAAACGTGTGGGTGGGCGCATGAGCATGGACTTGAGCGACATATACTCACATGCCCACACCCACATAGGGCCCTCGATTGCGCCACCTGCGCATCTCTGGACTTCACCCTCCAGCCCGGATCCTCCAGGTCCTGTGCCCCGGGGTCGCTCAAGTTCTGCAAGAGTTTGCGATTTGCCCAAGGTGTGTTGAACAGTTTTCTCTTAACCCGTTTGTGGGAGTGTAATCTGATGTAAAACCAATGGACTAAACAAACAGAAGCACTTTCAATAAAGTCAATTTAGAAATGTGGATCAAAATTAAGTGAATTAGCTTTGGGCCAGGAGTTCCATGTCTGTGAATGTGTCCTAAGTAAACAGTCAAATAAGCAATTATGTTCACTGTAGTTGTTGATGCCAGGGGAAACCGGAAACAACCTGCCCCAAATAAAGGGTTAGTGAGGTAAACAGCAGTAATGTCAGTCAGGGATAACACTGTAGCTAATAAAAACTATGTCTAGCCCTAACCGATTTGGCTCAGGGGATAGAGCGTCGGCCTGCGGACTGAAAGGTCCCAGGTTCGATGGTCAAGGAGGGCATGTACCTTGGTTGCAGGCACATCCCCAGTAGGAGGTGTGCAGGAGGCAGCTGATCAATGTTTCTCTCTCATTGATGTTTCTACCTCTCTATCCCTCTCTCTTCCTCTCTGTACATGAAAAGAAGGCCATAGCCAAATATTAAGTGGAGGGCAGGGGAAGCTCAGAAGAGGGCATGTATATTTATATGTAAGTATATTTTATATGTCAGGGAAATAACAGTTTTTAAAAAGGTGATTGTTCCTGAGCTCTGCAATTGTGAGTGTTAGCAAATTGTGTTTCAGGTGTGACAGGTGCCTTTGGTGTCCCATACACACAGACATCCTTGCCTGTGGTACAGTCTGAACCTTTGCCAGACCTGCCCCTCTCTGTTGTGGCAATGGCCCAATCAGACATTCCCTTTTATTGGGCTGGTTTCCTTTTCTCCTTTGCCCAAACCATGCCTTTCCAACAAAAGAATATTAACCAAGCAATCCTAACAACAAGTTTTGTTGCCAACTGCAACTTATGCCCTTTTACACAAATGTTGTTGCTTTCAAGCTTACCAGGTTGTATTTCAACACTTTTATTTTTCTGCAACTTGACCATTTTTTTTATTCACTTAAAATATTCTGGAGTATTTGAAATACACATAGGAAAGTAGAGAATAATATGACAAATACTTATCTATAGTAATAAAAGAGTAATATGCTAATTAGACCAGACATCTTCTGAACATCCTTCCAGACATCCTTCCAGAACAAGCCATGGTGGCAGGGGCTGAGGCAGAGGTGGTTAGGGACGACTAGGCTGGCTGGGGATGGCAGTTAGGAGTGACCAGACCAGCAGGGGAGGGCAGTTAGGAGCGACCAGGCAGGTAGATAGGTGAGCAGTTAGGAGCCAGTGGTCCTAGATTATGAGAGGGATGCCCGACGGTCGGACATCCCCTGAGGGGTCCTGGAATGGAGAGGGTGCAGGCTCGGCTGAGGGACTCCCCCCCCACCCCGTTCACGAATTTTGTTCACCGGGCCTCTAGTCCATCAATAATAACCTTAAATGTAAATGGATTAAATGCTCCAATTAAAAGATATAGGGTAGCTGAATAGATAAGAAAACATGATTCATGTATATATTGTCTATAAGAGACCTATCTTGGAGCAAAAGATATATACAGCATGAAAATGAAGGCATGGAAAATAAAATATTCCATGCAAATGGAAACAAACAAACAAAAAATGCTAGGGTAGGAATACTTATATCTAACAAAATAGACTTCAAAACAAATGTCTTACAAAGAGACAAAAAAGGCCACTACATAATACTAAAGGGATTGACCCAACAAGAAGATATAACCCTTGTAAGTGTATATGTAACCAATATAGGAGCATCTAAGTATATAAAAAACAAAACACAACTTGGTGGACATTAAGGAAGAGATCAACAGTAATACAGTCTTAGTAGGGGATTGTTATACCCTACTGTCATCACTGGATAGAATTTCCAGACAAAAACCGAACAAGGAAAAAGGACCTTACATGACACACTAGATTGGATGGATTTAATTAATATTTCCAAAACATTTCATCCTCAAATTGCAGAATATATATTCTTTTCAAGTAAATATAGAACATTATCAAAGATGAAACATATGTTAGGACACATAATACGTCTTAACAAATTCAAGAAGACTGAAATCACATCAGGCACCTTCTTGAATCACAATGGCATAAAACTAGAAATCAACTACAATAAAAAACATTCAAACACATGGAAACTAAATAGCATGTTGTTAAACAATGAATGGGTTCCCAATAAGATCAAGGAAAACAAAAAAGAATTACCAGGAAACAAATGAAAATGAACATAGCGCTTAAAATGTATGGAACACAGCCAAAGCAGTCCTGATAGGAAAGTTCGTAACACTACAGACCTACTTCAAGAAGCAAGAATAATCTGAAATAAATAATCTAACCTTACCACCTAAAATAATTAGAAAGAGAACAAAAAACAAAGCCCAGAGAAAGTAGAAGAAAGGAAATAATAAAGATCAAAGCCAAAATAAATGACATAGAGACTAAAACAACAGTACAAAAGATCAATGAAACCAAGAGCTAGTTCTTTGAAAAGATAAAAAAGATTGATGGGCCAGAACCGGTTTGGCTCAGTGGATGGAGCGTCGGCCTGCGGACTGAGGGGTCCCGGGTTCGATTCCGGTCAAGGGCATGTACCTGGGTTGCGGGCGCATCCCCAGTGGGAGGTGTGCAGGAGGCAGCTGATCGATGTTTCTCTCTCATCGATGTTTCTGACTCTCTGTCTCTCTCCCTTCCTCTCTGTAAAAAATCAATAAATTATTAAAAAAAAAAAAAGATTGATGAGACCTTCACTAGACACATCAAGAAACAAAGAGACAGGACCCAAATAAATAAATAAATCAGAAATGAAAGAGAAAAAGTAACAACTGACATCACAGTACTACAAAGGATTATAGTAAAATGCTATGAACAACTATATGCCAACAAATTAAAAAACCTGTGTGAAATAAACAAATTACTAGAAACATACAACCTTCCAAGACTGACTCAGAAAAAAACCAGAAAACCTGAATAGACTGATTACAACTAGTGAAACTGAAGCAGTAATAATAATAAAAAAAATTTCTCAGAAAATGAAAGTCCTAGACTGGATGGCTCCACAGGTGAATTTGACAAATAGTCAAAGAAGAACTAACATCTATCCTCCTTAAACTATTTCAAAAAATTCAAGAGGAGGGAATACTTTCAAGGTTGTTTTTTTTGAGGCCAACATTATCCTAATCCTCAAATTAGATAAAGAAACTGCAAAGAAAAGAAATTGTAGGCCAATATCCCTGAAACATAGGTGCAAAAATCCTGAAAAAAAATTAGCAAGCTGGATCCAGCAATACATTAAAAAAATCATAACCCATGACCAAGTGGGATTTATTCCAGGGATGCAAGGTCAGTACAATATTCAGAAATCAATAAATGTGATACATCACATAAACAAAATGAAAGATAAATATCACATAATTATATCAATAGATGAAGACAAGCATTTGACAAAATCCAGCACCCATTTATGATAAAACCTCTCAACAAAGTGGGGATAGAGTGATCATACCTCAACATAATAAAGGCCATATATGAAAAACCTATAGCCAACATCATACTCAGTGGGAAAAAACTAAAAGTGTTTCTCTTAAGATCAGGAAGAAGATAGGAATGTCTGCTTTCACCATTCTTATTTAACACTAGAGGCCCAGTGCATAAAATTCGTGCATGGGGAGAGGGATGCCCTCAGCCTGGCCTGCGCCCTCTCACAGTCCAGGACCCCTCAGGGGATGTCCATCTGCTGGTTTTCCTCTGACTACTTTTAAGATGTTCTCTGCCTTTGTTTTTTTGTGTAGTTTCCCTCTAATGCACCCAGGTATTAATTTTCTTTCTCCTCGCAGTCCTCGCAGTCTGGGACCCCTCACTCCTTACCACCTGTCTGCGTGCTCCTTACCGCTCAGCTTGCTGCTCCTTAGCAGCGGGCTCCTTACTGCTTGGCTTGCTGTTCCTTAGCACTGCTGCGGAGGCGGGAGAGGCTCCTACCACCGCTGCTGTGCTCGCCAGACATGAGCCCAGCTTCTGGCTGAGCGGCGCTCCCCCTGTGGAAGCGTTGAGCATCATAGCGACTGGTCATTCTGGTCATTCCACCGTAACAGTCACTGGGCTTTTATTATATAGGATGAATGAGTTACCAAAGAAATCAAAGAGGAAATAAAAAACATCCTGTAAACAAATGACAATGAAAACACAACAATTCAATATCTATGGGACACAGTGAAAGCAGTCCTGAGAGGAAAGTTCATAGCATTATAGAGCTACCTCAAAAAACAAGAAATATTGGTAATAAATTATCTAACTCTACAACTTAAAGAATGAGAAAGAGAGCAACAAGAAAAGCCCAAAGTGAGCAGAAAGAAGGAAATAATAAAGATCATAGCAGAAATAAAGGACATAGAGAAAAAAAACAAACAACAATACAAAAGATCAATAGCAGAGCTCCTCCCATGTGAGAGCGCCCTGACCACCAGGGGGAAGCTCCTGCATTGAGCTGGTGGTCAGTGTGTGTCATAGTGACCAGTCATTCCCAGTCTTTCTGCTGTTAGGGTCAGTTTGCATGTTATCCTTTTACTATATAGGATAGAGGCCTGGTGCACGGGTGGGGGCCGGCTGGTTTGCCCTGAAGGGTGTCCCGGATCAGGGTGGGGGTCCTGCTTGGGTGCCTGGCCAGCCTGGGTGAGGGGCTGATGGCTGTTTGCAGCTGGTCACACCCCCTTCAGGGTGGGGGTCCCCACTGGGGTGCCTGGCCAGTCTGGGTGAGGGGCTGAGGGCCGTTTTCAGGCTGGCGAGTGACTGAAGCTCCCAGTGTCTCCTTTTTTCCTTTTCTTTTTTTCCCCTGGGATTTATTTACCTTCTATGGCTGTCACTGGAGCTGAGAGCCGGCTTTAGCTCTGAGGCTCGACTCCAGCTCTGAGACCTTGGCTGCTCAAAGCAGGTATCTGGGTTTGTTTGGCTTCTATAATTGAAACACTGTTGCAGCTCCAGCTCTGAGGCCCGGCTGGCTGAAAGCAGGTTTCTGGGGTTTGTTTAGCTTCTATAATTGCAACATTGTTTCTTAGAGTGCAGCTCAGAGGCCGGCAGCAGCAGGCAGGGAACCTTGGCTTCCTCCATCACTGGAGCAAGCAAGCCTCCTGTTCGCTTCAGCTGCCTGGCTGCCGGCTGCCATCTTGGTTGGCAGTTAATTTGCATATCACCCTGATTAGCCAATGGGAAGCATGTCGGAGGTATGGTTAATTACCATGTTTGTCTATTATTAGATAGGATAATACTGGAAGTTCTAGTCACAGCAGTCATAAGAAGAAGAAATAAAAGGCATCCAAATTGGAAAGCAGGAAGTAAAACTGCCACTATTCACAGATGACATGATATTGTTCATAGAAAACTCTAAAAAGACTCTACCAAAAATTACTAATCTAATGAATGAATTTGGCAAAACAGTAAAATACAAAATTAATATTCAGGAATTGGTGGCATTTTTATAGACCAATAATGAAGTATCAGAAAGAGAAACTAAGAAAAGAACCCCATTCACTATTGCAACAACAACAACAAAAATAAGGTACCTAGGAATAAATTTAACCAAGGAGATAAAAGGCCTATAACTCAGAACATTATAGAATATGAAAGAAAGGAACTGAGGAAGACACAAGCAAGTAGAAGCATATACCATATCCATGGATTGGAAGAATTAACATCATTAAAATCTCCATACTATAGATTCAATGCAATAGCTATTAAAATATCAATGGCATCTTTACAGATCTAGAAAAAATATTCCAAATATTTATATGAAACAAAAAAAGACCCTGAATATTGTCAGCAATCTTGAAAAAGAAGAACAAAACTGGAGGTATCACAATACCTTATATTAAACTATACTGTGGAGAGTGGCTACAGCGTTTGGACAGGGTCAAGCATCGGACTGATGAGAGGGCACAGTCCTCTTGTGGAAAAGCCACATACAAGTCCCAGCTTGGAAGGCAAAGCCCTCCCAGCACAATTATAGCCAAAGGCTATGGTTGTAAACTTGACCTTATGGTCCGACCCTGTGGTCCTAGGGGGCTGAGGGATGTGGGCTGTGGGAGGTGCAGCAAGTGCTGCCAAAACAATGTTTGACAGCATTCATAGAAGTGCAACAACAGGAAAGAAGTAGATTTGAAATTTTCAAGAACATTGTAAACATCTTGACCACTCCCTTGTTTTGCTTTGTGTAATCTGACTATAAAATAAAGACTTGGCTTACAGGCTGTGTCACTGTTTCCTCATCCAGACACAGTGATCCACTTGGCCCCAACTATATTCTTTTGTCAGTTTTCTTTAATCCTTCACTGCCTCTCCTCAGGTTCACCATTGGCCATGCTGGACATAGTTCACTATACTACAAGGTCACTATCATCAAAACAGCTTGGTACTGGCATAAGAATAGGCATATAAATCGATGAAACAGAAGAAGAGCCCAGAAATCAACCTAAGCCATTATGGTCAATTAATATTTGACAAAGGAGGCAAGAGCATAAAATGGAGTAAAGACAGTCTCTTCAATAAATGGTGTTGGGAGAATTGGACATGTACATGCAAAACAAACAAACAAACAAACAAAAAAACAAACACCAACTTATACCATACACAAAAATAAATTCAAAATGGATAGAAGATTTAAATGTAAGTCACTAAACCATAAAAATCCTAGAAGAAAACATAAGTAGTAAAATCTCAAGACATCTCATGTAGCAACCGTTTTGCTGATATAATTACTAGATCAAGAGAAACAAAGGGAAAAATGAACAAACGGGACTACATCAAACTAAAAAGTTCTGCACAGCAAAAGAAGCCATCAACAAAATAAAAATGGAACCCACTGTATGGGAGAAATATTTGCTAATAATACATCGGATAGCCGAAACCGGTTTGGCTCAGTGGATAGAGTGTCGGCCTGCGGACTGAAGGGTCCCGGGTTCGATTCCGGTCAAGGGCATGTGCCTGGGTTGCGGGCACATCCCCAGTGGGTGATGTGCAGGAGGCAGCTGATCGATGTTTCTCTCTCATTGATGTTTCTAACTTTCAATCTCTCTCCATTCCTCTCTGTAAAAAATCAATAAAATATATTTAAAAAAAAAAATAATACATCGGATAAGAGATTAATTTCCAAAGTATATAAGAACTTATACAACTCAACACCAGGAAAACAAAAACTCAATTAAAAAATGGGCAAATTGAATAGACACTTCTCTAAATATGATATACACATGGCCAATAGACATGAAAAAATGCTCAACATCAATAATCATCAGACAGATGCAAATAAAACCACAATGAAATATTACCACACACCAGCCAGAATAGCTGACATCAGTAATTAAACAGACAGCAAATGCTGGCAAGGATGTGGAGAAAAGGGAACCCTAGTGCACTGTTGGTGGGAATATAGAATGGTGGAGCCACAGTGGAAAACAGTATGGAATTTCATAAAAATATAAAAATGGGACTGTCTTTGATCCAGTGATCCCACTCTGGTAATACATCCTAAGAATACCAAAACACCAATTAGAAATAATATATGCACCACTATGTTCATAGCAGCATTATTTACAACTAGAGGCCCGGTGCACAAAAATTTGTGCACTGGCGGGGGAGGGGGGTGTCTCTCAGCCCCACTTGTGCCCTCTCACAGTCTGGGACCCCTCGGGAGATAACCACCTTCTGGCTTAGGCCTGCTCCCCGGGTGGCAGATGACAGGCCCGATCCCTCAGTGCCTGCCCCGCTTCCCCAGGTCGTGCACACAGCAGGGCCGATCTGGGGGTTGGGGCGCCGCCCCGGGTCAGGTCGCACACGAGATGCCCGGATGGAGGCTGGGCGGGCTGGCTGATCGCTGCTGCCCTGCCTGGCCACCCC